AAAAAAATCCGCTTGGAGTAGACGCGCCGCGAGATATAAAATGTACTCTTCGGATTTACGACGATGGAGAGTGAAAATAACAAAAAAAGGAAAAAAAAAAGCGAGATACACTCGCACGAAGATACGTGCGTGCGCGCGCCGGATACGAATGCACGCATGTATATATGGATCAGAGAAAACGGTCGTTTTTGTCGAACGGGGTAAAAAACATTTTCCAGTTCGCGTAGGAGATGCTGGAGGCAGAAACAATTTTCGATTCGACGCATGCGAAAATTCATATCGTCGAAAGCGTGGGAGCGCGAGAGAGGAGTGGAGTGGAAGAGAAAAAGAGGGACAGAGAGAAAGATACACGAGCGAAACGACGAATCGACGTGTTTGCAAATGTTCGACGCGTGGCCGCGACGCTGTGTGTGATGGGAGAGAAAAATTGCCTATTTCAACGTCCCAGCATTTTCCCAGGCGCGCTAGCCTCCCGGTAATCTAGATTGCGGCTTGCATGACGACGAAATATTTCCGGTGCGTGTACGATGACCGGTACCGTGGCTATCTCTCCGTGTTTCCACCGCTCGCAAAAGGAAAACGCTTGAAAAGATGAGACGCAAAGTTGACGCGATGTCTTTTGCGCTCCTTAGCTACTCTTCCTTTTCATACGGTGACTGCTAAGTAAAATTTATGACAAATTTCTGGGCTGCTTGATAATCTGCTACGCGGAATCTGTTTGGAAAAATATTTTGCGAGAAGATACTCATGCGGATTTCGCCGCGTGTGTTTATTCCGCGATCGTGAATTCATAAATTATCGAGTTAATAACGATAGAGAGATATCCTCAAAGAAGGCAAATTATTTTTTATCACTTCATCGATTTTGCACAATTTTATCTTATTTTTATTTTATTTTCCAGTTTTTCATATTGCGGAAAAACTGCAGGGACTTTAGAGACAGACTTTAATTTAAACAAAAATCCTTTTCAGTCTGTGGTCTCTAGATACCTTAATTTATCGCTGGTGGGCCTGGCTGACGTAACGTCGTTACGTGGTAAACGTTCGCCACGAAAATTCGCGATCGACCGGCGGTGGATGCATTTGTTGCAGCGCCCCGACACAACGGCGCTTTTTATCGGCGTGGATCTTCTTCCGTGTCGCACGCACGGAGGAAAGGGGTTACGATTGCAATATAGTTGAACAAGTGGTAGAGAACGGGTCGTTGCTTGGAAAGTCGGTGAAGTATTAGGCGTGCTCATGTCACGCGAAGAATGAACGCTGACTATTTGTACGCCGTTTAAGAGGCTCCTGTATTCTGGGAAGTGTTGTAAAAATAAAGATCGAAATATCGCGATATTCGTAATAGCACTCGCATCGATACATGCTCCTAATAATGTTATTTAATCATTAATATAACCTTGTCGTTAAGCTTTAAATTTCTACTTAATTGTGTAACTTTAATTATATATATGCCATATTTGAAATTTAACCTTCGAGTTCTTATACTTATCGCTCGTAATGTATATGCAATCTCAAGACTTCCAGCTACGCAAGCCGTAAATTCTACGAGATTTCCTTATCTATTTGCATACTTTAATTAATTTTTTAAATATTTATATGTAAGAGTAATTACTTTAACACACACAAAAATCATCTAATATCTATCTGTTAAAGTTGATAGCAATTAAAACACGCACGCTCTTGCGTGCGTAAACTTGATGCTCGTTATCGCGCGAGCGAGGGTTGCGTTTGATACACGTAGTATCTTTAACGACCTATCAGATCTGATAAATAAAATATACGTGCTAAGATGTCAAGAAATCTCGTGTTTCTTATCATAAGCGAACGCGTTGTCGAACACCCGACAGTTACTTCAATCTCGTAAACAAACGACAAAGAAAAGTAATTTTATCGATTTTCCGGGACATTTCACGGAGGAAAAGAAAATAAGAAAATCGCTCGTTATCGAAGGGAGAACGGGAGTCGGTATCGAAGACCCTTTTGCGCGGCGCATTCCGTGCCACGTCGGAAGAAGATGAAGAATTCACGGGAAAACACGTCGGCGTGTGTGCCGAGGAGGCATCGCGACGAGGGGCGCGATTTATTGGATGAAATGCAAATTGAATTGTAGTTAGCGAGAGAGCGCCGAGAAACGACGCGAGTAAATCGTGCCCTCCTTCCCGCACCCTTGCTTCCGATTTCTCTCTCCCAGCTCCGTCCCCCGCGACAGCCACCGCCTCTCGATTCCCCCGTGTTCTTTCTCCGATAATTCGCACATAAATTCACGACAAATTGAAATAAAAACTGGGTCGATCGAAATGCAATTTACCCGAATGCGCGCTGCCCGTGCGCGCGACAGAAAGAATTCGCCAAGATCGTTCACCGGCGAGCCAATCGCGGATGCGATTTTCCTCCGCGCGGCGATCACCGTACCCGTTAATTGCCTGCTTTGCATCTGTTTCTGATTACCGGTGCGATCGTTAACTGTATGGCGTCGAGCCAGCTCTTCTTTCGGTAAAGCGATTTCGCAAGTATTTACATCCGTTCCCGGTTCGACGCTACGCTCACGCGCGTTATTATTTTGCAAACTTGCAATTTCCCAGGAAATTTATCGCTTGCATTTGGCATCGCGCTAGTTTTTAAACGGCGAGTCCAAATGGCACCTTTTCTACATTGATTTAAGAAAATATGAATTATAAATAAACTCCGATTCTTTCGTCACGATTTGCACGCCGAGCAAGGGAGCGTTTAATGATAATATTATTTGTCGCTGAAAAATTTGCAAATGAAAAAAATCGAAACGTCCTAGTAAAAAACTCGGGAAAAAATTACTCTCTGAATCACACGTTTATCACACGCTATGATAGATACACTTCTCTCGTTTACAATCACGAATTCATTCGGGAAAGGTATGCTGTTGCTTTGATGTGGTGTAAATTTACATGAGCTATACGGCTTCATTACTACTGGTCTATCCGAAAGTTACCGATAGAATAGAACACTCCAAAGTTAAATCGCAAAGCTCTTGTGCAAGCAGACAGCAGCGCGCGAATAAACATAAAGTGAGAATAACATTTAACCCGGACAACTCCTTCTTAAAGTGCATGCATTCTACTAAAAAGTGTACGCGTTCTGGAATTAAATGTAACACCTTCCTTGTATGCGAAAAGTTGTCAGTTTCAGCACGCTTGTCGCTTTTTAATTTTTACAATTTCTATATACAGTGTGTACAAATCTGTAAATTTCGGTGACATAATTGTGCAAAATTTTTTACAGATTACTTCGTGAATGCAAATAAAAGAATTGGGACAGTTCTCACAAAACTCAGAAAAAAAATTGCTCCCTCAACGCACAGTTTACAATATTTTAAAGATAAATTATACAATCTCATAAGCAATATAAAATTGCAGTAAAAGTTAATCAAATATTGACATTCCACGCTGCTGAAAACAAATGCACGCAATGTGCGTTTTGTCGTATATCGCGTGCACATTTTGACATCACGATTTTGATTTGTATCTACTGTTTAACAAAAAAAGTGTCATTTATTTGAGATATAAATTTGCTCGCGAGTTAAAGTGGACAATTTTGCGAAGTCAATAAATATATAAAAAAAAGTTGATTCAGTACTGGTCCAAAAACGCGAAATAAATATTGCAACAATTGTTACAATAGTAGTAATTATTCTGAATCAATTAAACCACACCATAGAGATTGGAAAACGTCAGTTGCAGTATGTGGAAGCACATTCAAAAATCAGTTTTAATTATCAACTTTACTTGAAGTTTGATGTAAAATCTACGTAAAATTTAGCATACATTTAATTAAACATGAAATTCAACGTGCAATCATAGTTTTGTTGACCACTCCAGCATAACAAAAAGTACTTCATAATGCAATTATTATTGGAATGTTTACTAATGGAGTGCGCGCCCACTAATTAGGAAACTGTATTTTATTGTTTTATGCAAATACAATAACATGTTCTTGTACACACAAGAAATTTTTCTACAAAATTTCATACAAATCTAAAAAAAAATTATATAAAAAAGAAACAATAAGGATTTTCAATTTCAATGTTTAACCTTGCTAAATTATGATTAAATTATATATTAAAATTTTAAAATCGCAGAAAGTTTCAATAATTAATAAGCGTTAATTATGCTGAAATACTTTATATTCTAGTTGCAATTATATGGTAACTGCAGTAATACGATAATTCTATTAGTTTACCAATATCCGTAATCCATATTTACAGATATTTCTATCTTACGAATATCGATACCAATGTTCCTAACTATAAATAGATTTTATGGTTATTAATTTACATATACATGTATGTATTTATATAATCCAACGTATAAAAGCTTATTTATCCGATAAAACAATTGGAATAAGAGCCTTTATAATTTTAAGGCAACGTAACCGGCATTCATCTTATTCACTTTATTCATCTCATTAAATTTCATAGTAAAATTTACATATAAGATTAGGACGATGAGAGATTGCATATAAAGCGGTTTGTTGTCTCTTTTATTTCTGACAGTGACGTATTGAAATTCTGACACGTAGAGAGCGAGTGGCGAGAGATGAAAAGTATGCACAGGCAAATATTTCGCAAGACAACTAGCCGTAAGCACGACGGTCGGCTAATTTCAATCGCTACGGACCGCGTGTTTGCGTGATGCCGCTGGCATCTTCACGCTCCACATGTCGAAGGCATGCCGCGAGAATTCGCGGACTGAACGGAAACGCACGGGCTCGAGCCTACATTCAGAGATCAATATGTCGCATTCCGTTCTAATAATACCGACGGTGTATTAATCGGCAGTACGTCCAACTGATTACTCATTAAGGCCGCTTGCGGTGGGCGTAATAACGCATCGCGCGAAAACATTAATTGGCATTCCAATGAGCCGTTTGTGGTGGGTTTCTTGCAAATTTCATTTGACTACATATTATTCATAAATAACTAAATAATTTGGTTTGTTAAAAATATGTTTGCAAATTTTTGCTTACCTAGTTACGTTCGATGAGTGCATCTCCGTAGAATATCAAATCGCTCCGATATTCTGCAGACAAATGAAAAAACAAATATATAATCTCACATTATTGCATTAAAAATTGTGCGGTCTAAAACTAGCGATTTATTATAAATGTAACAATTTGAAATTATTCTTATTCGTATTACTTTTTCAATGCGTAACATTTGGCATTCAATTGTAAAATCATGCACTGAGAAAAATGGTTTTATTATATTAACAAAATTCTTCTGGTTGACTGTATTTTAGTCGAACGAAACAGAATTTCTGGTTATCGTCACAAAATTTTACACCTTATATCAACACCGTTTGGTTAACTTTACTATAAGGATTTGAATAAGTGTTTTCTTGTTGGATCTACAAAACTTCTTGTTATATTTACATAAATCGCAGCGCTCTGCAACAGTTTCGTCATTACTCACTAAACGGTTGATCAACTGTTCGCCGCATTCATTTGTTACACTGCTACTGCGCCTCGCTACTCGCGGCGTGTATCGCGCGCATTAGATCTTTCGCGAAGCAATGGCGTTAAGCAGTCGGAACAGTCTCAACTGAGCTCGCTAAAGTTTTACGTCGCGTCGTGGAATCCATTACGGAATATTAGTTAGGCCGATGGCAGAGAACGAGAAGTAAGCACTTATGTCTGTCGTAGACGTCTGTCGTGGACGTATGGTAAGGCAGAGAAAAACGTAAGTCGTGAAAGGTTATTGGATATGTGTGGAAACGACTACGACATACATAAGTTTTTACGTCTCGGTCTCTGCCATCAGCCTTACATCCGAAAAGTTTTATGATCGCGTGGTGTTTTTTTTTTAATGAAATATATGTATACCAGTGATGTAATGTTTCCTACCGGGCTCCCGGCTCCCGAGCCCGGTAGGAAACATCACATCACTGAGTATACTTTAAACCAAAATATATTGTTAGTATTTTACAAAAACCACACCTATCCGAACTTGTTTTTTAACTACAAAGTTGTGTTAACCTAACGAAACGATATAGTAAAGTTAACAAGAAATTCTGGTAGAGTTTTGTAAATCTAACAACACAATGTGGTAAGGTTTACAAGAAATTCTGGTAGAGTTTTGTAAATCTAACAACACGATGTAGTAAGGTTTACAAGAAATTCTGATAGATTTAAACAGGATAAAATTTAACAGAATCTTTTGGTAATTCCAACAACAAATTTGTTTCGTCCATTTTTGAACAAACGTACTAGTAGAATCAACCAGAATTTCTTATAATACAACAAAACTTTTTTTCCAGTGTGGTTGTTTTAAATCTTTATAGCATATTAAAAACTACTCGGATGATTTATTTTGCATTTAACACAGTCATCAGTGCAGCGACGGTACAAATGCATTCAGATATCGTTTGATCCCTCCAAACAAAACCCGACACTTTAACATTTAAATTCTGCAATAAATTCCAATACGTCAGAATCAAAAGCACAATAAATGACGATGCCAGGTGGCGCACCGTAATAAAGAGTGCATATCTTTGTTGCGCCAAAAGGAATCGAGAACCAGAAATCCCGGGAGAATCTGATTCTATTAGGAGGCAAGCTGCGACATTCCAATTAGCAAATTCTTGCCAACCAATTCGAATTAACAAATTCCTGCATACATTCTGGCGCCAAGTGCCGATGCGACTGAGCTACTAGCGATATATTTTAATTAAGCATATCTGTGCTTTTTTTTCCTGTAAAATACCTAATATTATACTCGTATTTTCAATCATTTCAACATTAAGAGGATGCTGGAGTGCCTGACGAACTCCGACGCGAAAGCGCCATCATTTCGATGGAACTAAAAATAAGAGTGATATTATCGGCATAAATCATAATCTAAGTATGAATGTATTGTGTATGCGTATGTGTGGTGCGTGTATATATTCGCATATTATTGTATAGTGCCCTCTGATATTATCCTGGAACTAATCTTCTGTTATTTTTTCATCTGTTATACCGATATTGGACGCACACGTATGTAAAAATAGTCGGACAAGAATATTTTTTACATTAGACTTTTCAGCCCAATTTTAATAGTTCCGTAACATTCTATTCTGCAGTCCGCAATTCGGGCTGCTCTTATTCAGCGTCTTAAAACTGTTAAACTTTTATAAAAAACGAAAATAGATAGCTCTATACAATATGTTATCCTAAGAGCAGAATAGAAATTAATGAATAGAAACAAATTTTGTTATTAATTCTTTTTTTTCCAAATAAAGTCGAGCAGCCCGAATTCCGTTTTTGTGTACACTTTACTCCTGCAAAAGGATTTACAATTCTATGCAACCAATAAAAAGATATTCTTGTTCGAAAAAATATAATGTCCGGCCGGTAACTCCAGCATCCCCTTAATATAAGCAAGTTAATAATATTATTTTTCAAATTATTAATGAGATTATGAATAAAATTTTATCGTATTTTTGCGATAATAGATATAATAAGTGTAACGGATTATTACATAAATAAAAACCAGGTATAAATGTAAAAAGTCCATCAAAGTTTGAAGATAAGTGATAACCGCTTAGTATAGGTGCATAATAAATTATTCAGAGCTTAAAATGCAACGGGTTAACTGTGACAGCGGTAAACTAGGAATATTAATCATCCGAACTTAATATTTTATGAAGTAGGGTATGTCGGTTGCGTTCCTATTTGAATATGCTGCTGTAATAAATTCTAGATCCGCCATATGCAAATCGACCGCCGGAAGCTGCCGATTAATCGATGATGCGACTCTAATAATTCCTTCAACATAAATTTCGATCTATCCACGAATTGTATCATGTAAACTATTTCGAATACCATTAAGTTTTCTACGCGTGCGAAATCAGTGTGCAACAAAACCGATCTGTTTTAGCGAAGGCGCCCTAACTACGCATTTAATCGTTTATACATATTTCTGTCGAAACCATCGTAGATTTTTATTCTCGATTACTCTCGAAAACCGCCGGCCTCGATAAAATTTCATGGAAACGAGCTCCGGTCGAAAACGAACGTGCGCTGTATAAAGTTAAAAGAGTTTCGTATGCATGCCTGATGGCTCGTCGAAATGGGACGTTCGATGTAATACAATCGTCGTGTTTGCGTTCAGAGTTCCATGCCCGATTCCCGTATACCCTTCCGCCGCCCGTTCACCCGTGTTCTCTTCATCGCTTCCTCCCCCTTCGCCTCACCCGTCCTTCAGCATCCACACGACTGCGAGAATGGATCGTGAGATTGAGAGCGAAACTTTTTAACTACTTCTAACGTACGTCGCTTTTGGCGAGCAATAGAGTGGGAACGAAACGCAAGAAGGAGAGGCGGGAGAGACGGAGGAGGAGGAGGAGGAGGAGGAGGAAGAGAAAGAGGAGAAGAAAAAGAAGCGGAGGCAAGAAAGATCGACCTAACCTCATGACCCTCATCCTGGAGCGAAGGGTAATAGCATCTCTTCTGACGAGGCATAAGGATGAGAAACACGACGGTCAAAACGCCTTCTGATCGTATACCGTTCTCTCTCCATGGGAGCGACCAATCCCACGACTTATAGGACCTGGCGTTACTAAAAAAGAACTTAATGGTCATCGACCAGAGGCCGATTTCATGGACGTGAGAGCGGAATAGAGATGTCGATTCCATCGTATTTTTATCGACGTCGAGGAACGCTCGAATCATAACAATCACGCCGCGCATCTGAATCTATCGAGTTTATTCCAGCCCCGAGAGGAATATTTAAAAACCTGAGTATCTTTAATGGTCGCGATTCCAAATAATAAATGAAAAAAAATAGAAATAATATTGTTCTGTTGTAAATCCCAAATGAGAAGTGAAAATCACAGTGTATTCCAGCCGGAATAAACATCGTTGCACCGATAATATTGGACCGTATTATAGATGCGCGTGTGTGTATGTGTGTTACATTAATGTGCATGTTAAATTAATTTTGATACACAGTGCAACATATAATATCGATCGCGGGACGTGTGCAGAATTGTCAGCATACTAATGTAGACGTATTATCAATGAACTAGCTGGTCGTCGGCGTGCGTGTGTATGACAATCCATCTATTTCAATCAATGAGGACGTACATGCGAAGTAACAGATCGTGTGTTGCGTATGCTCGAAATTTTTCTAGGGTCAACTAACGTCAGTTTGTTCGGACAGATGACATCTTCGTTATCAACGCCATTGTAACACACGCATTTTCCGTGCCAGTCTCTCTCTCTCTCTCTCTCTCTCTCTCTCCCCCCCTCTCTCTCCCTCTCTGTCTCTCTCTCTCTCTCTC